GACTAAAAATCTGTCTAGAAAATGTTTATTGGTTTAAGAATTTTTAGATATTTGGACTAAAAATCACACAAAAACTATAAGAAAGAAAATTTATGATGAATTTCTTTTATAAACACGCATTTATAGAATTGCAGCAATGTAAAACAAGTGCACATCTGTCAAACAAGCTTAAAAATGCTGATGTGCAGAGAGGAGTTTATGACTGAGGAGAGCACATCTCTATCACAGCAGCAGAATCTCAATTTAGTGAAATATGCCTTTAAGAAAAAAAAAAGCCAAAATAGTATTTTATTGCTTTTTAATTTTCTGTAAACTTAAAACACTTAATACAACTTGACCAACTAATTTTATGTAAACATGGAAACATTTTATGCTTAGCCCTGGTCTATTTTTAATAAAAACATATGTATTCCCACTATTTTTTCAACTGATCAGAATGCTCTGAGAGGTGAGCACAGACTCATCTGAGCACGTATGTAGAACATTAGTTATTTTCTCATCTATTTAGGTTTTTTAATTTCCTTAACATTTTCTTGCCAAAATACCATCTACAAGACTTTGACAAGGTCTGTAAGAGTCAAAAACACGCAAGGCCCTTCTAATTAAATGTTCATGTCCTATTGATATCTTTATATATTTTGGCGGAGTTAAAAAGTTTGAGCACATAAGAAGTTGCACTGGCTGCGGGCACGCGCGAGCGATATAGCGAAGTGAAAGCGCGTCTGTTAGAAAGAAACTAGTGGCAAATTCGGGGGAGCTGGATGTCTGAAACACACAAATACATTGGCCCAGCTTGGACAGAAGAAAGTGTCTGTATGCCTGAGATTTTCACCATTGCAATGGCTCGTCTGTCAGTGGTTTACATGACGCTGGTGTACGTCTAATGATTGCCATTACGGGAAGTGCTACCTGGTGGCGGCTGGGTGTACTGTAGCTAAAGCGGGTAATGGCTGCAGTAAGTGTGGAAAACTGATTAATTAAATCAGATCTTTTGTAAATTTAGGAAAATATATTGGCGCCTGAGTATGTATCGTGGTCAGAAATAACACTATACATGGGCATATATTTTGTCCCACCACTAATCCACAACTCAACAAACTAAAACGAAAGTCACACAATAATTTCAAGCACTCTTGGGGGCCCCCTGGTGGCCACGGGGCCCTAAGCAGCTGCTTAGTTCGCTTATGCCTTGGGACGGCTCTGGGTGCGCCTACATTTGTGAAGTTAGGAGCTACTGATCTTAATCGGTAGTGGAAATTTCAGGTTTCAAGAAAATGTTAAATGTAGAGCCCCGCTACATTATTCCTTCATAAGCCCATTTCAGTCAGATAATTCCTGCTTTCAGATCTACTAAAATGGCAGGTGACTGTCAAATCAAGCAGATCTGGGCTGTCTGAAGAAAAGGTGGACACTCATCTTTCTGAAAATAAAAAAATAGATTGAAATTCCATATAAAACTAAATTGTTCTTTTATTTTTATTTAACTACTACAATATTACATTTATTTTTTTATAGGAAGCTTTTTGGTTTTGAGAATAAAGAAGGATTTGTTTTTTTTGCTGCTAAGCAGAAACCCCTGAAGTATAGCTCTATCACCGTTTAAGTAAAAGAAAAAAAAAAAACAGGATCATACTTTTATAATGTTAGTTTTAATACATAAAAAAATTAAAACCAAAGAAATCCTCTGGCTTTTTTTGCTCTATCGAAAACGTACCAAACCGTGACACCACTCTATCGTATTGAAGCAAACCATGATTTTTGTGAACCGTTACGCCCCTAATATATATATATATATACATACATACATACATACATACATACATATATATATAATATATATATATATATATATATACATATACATACATACATATACATACATACATACATATACATACATGTATATGTATATATATATGTATATATATATATATATATATATATATATATATATATATATATATATATATATATATATATATATATATATATATATATATATATATATATATATATATATATATATATATATATATACATACATACATACATACATACATACATGCTGTTAGCATGGTTACCTTACTGCCTTTTCTATGCTTTACAAGCTTGGATCAATAATGTACTACAGGTTTCATCAGTGATAACTGCTCAGCCTGATGAGAAAAAGCAATTTGGTGACCCACGCTTTACATTTTAGCATGATTTGCTAACCTTTTAAACTCACTAGTTGTTTGAGCAAATCACTCGAGGGCCTTAAAAGCTTGGCTTTTATGGGTCTTGATTGCACAGAGTGCTTCTCAACTCAAGGGTCGTGACCCCAAAAATGTGTCTCAGGGCTGTTTTGATAAGGTTGTGGAAGGCGGTGGGGGGGATGCTAGTGATAAAACGTAGTTATGATGACACAGTGAAAGGTCAACATGCGAGCTCCCACAACAAATCCAGTTGAGATTCACTAGGTTTAGGCATTCCATTCATCAACCAAGTTAGTGAAAATACACATGGCATCTATTGAACACGTCCTTTTTGCTTCATTTAACAGGCATGTAGCGTCTCATGCGCACAAACCACCTGCTGTTCTTCCCACAGCCCAGAATGCATCATGATGACGTGTTTCCAATGAGAGGAAGATTGGTGAAATATTTGATTTTGGAATGTTATTTTGTTGAGTTATTTTGTGGAGTCAATGACTCCAAGATGTGCTTGCTTCAGTTTGATTTAAGAGGTTTGATTACTTCGAGGAATGCTGGGAAATGTGACCAAAGGACTGACCGCTTTGGTGTGTACGGGTTTGACTTAATACTGCCATCTTGTGGCAATTTATTGCTAGTGACAGGATACTTTCTATTCATTTCATGATTTATGCTAATGCTGTTTAGATAAAACCAGCATGATCTTTTCATTGCTGACCCTAATCATTAGCCAAATTGTCATCATCAGCAAACATATTTGATTAAACCAACCATAATTAAGGCTAAGGGAAAGCCTAAAATGAAAATTTGTTTTGCTTTTTACTGAGACCATTTCTGAAATGTTGGGATGCCACTGAAGCATAATGCATATAGAGAACAAGTGGACGCAGCAGTGAATGTTCTGTGGCTGAACTGTCAAAGTGTGACCAAAGGCTCAACTTAAAATCATCCAGGAAGCCACAGAGGATCTTAAAAAACTCTTCCAAAGAAATGCGGGCTGGGAGAGGAGCAATGTGGAAACCACTGCTAACCAAGAACATAAGCGCTCATCTCTCATCCGCCAAGAGCACCTGGCTGATCCCCAAGTCTTTTGGAAGAATGTTGTGCGAGTCAAAAATGGAACATTTTGGATGACATGCATCCCATTATGTCTGGCACAAAGCGAAAACGGCATTCCACAATCTAAGAGCTTCTTACCAACAGTAGTGCTGGTGTGTTTGTTGTATTGGTAGTTAAATTGTTCTAAGTAAATTAAATCTTAATAATTACATATTGGGGTATTGCCATGGTTCTGACATTTTAACTTTGGCTCTATATAACATTTTATATTATAATTTTATGTGGATTTAGATTCTTATTGATTCCTTTAATTTGTATTAGAATTTTTTCATACCACTAGAGATTAAGATGCTACGTTTTAGAAAATGTCTCCTGTGCTCACCAAAAACTGCTAAATTTATTTGATCAAAAATATTGTAAAACAGGAATATTCAAAATTATTTATTCATAATATTAAAGCTGAACATTTTACATTCAAACACATATTTTACTTTAAAAGGGGTCCTCATTCATTCATTCATTCATTCATTCATTTTCTTTTCGGCTTAGCCACTTTATTAATTTGGGGTCGCTTTATTATATAACCCCAACTTTATTAAGTTGGGGTTAAATAATAACTTATCCAGCATGTTTTTTTTAAGCAGAGGCTCAAACCAGCGACCTTCTTGCTGTGAAGCGACAGCACTACATACTGCGCCACTGTGTCGCCTTAATCACTTTTAGGGGGGCTAATAAATCTGACTTCAACTGTGTATGTAAATATATATATATATATATATATATATATATATATATATATATATATATATATATATATATATATATATATATATATTTATATATTAAATTAAATTAAAAATTGTAAATACAAATAGTTTCTCAGTTAATATGCACCATATTCAGGCTATTGTTCAGGACAGATAAAGATGGCAGATAAATAGCGAATGAGAGGATGACCACAGGTGATGTGATGTGCGCGACTGTTTAAAAAGGGTGCTCGCTCCTTTATCCTTGCCTGAACTAGCTTTGTCTGCAAACACAACTAGTGCTATTCGTTCTCTCTGGATAGACATGGACAAAAAGCTATGCTCATGCACCCACAGTTCTGCTGCTTTCAAGAGCTCCAGATTTTTTAAAAAATATATTCTTTTGTAAGCAGCAAGTTTCTTTCGCTTTAAACGATCTTTGACTAAACAATTGTTTAGTGTTTTAAAGAAATGTTTTGTTAAATAAAAAGTGCACGCATACAGCTATATTTTGCTTGTTTTGACACATTTTTTTTTTTAATTGTGGCCAAGAAATAATTATTTATTAATGTTTGGTGTGGTCAGACATGAATTTGGTAAATCCTTCATTTTGAGCCCTGAAAAGTCATGTAAAGTAAAAACTAATAGCAATGCAACACTACGAAACTACAGTCCATTTGCTCCTGCACATAGCAAGCTCATACACACACAAAAATTGAAAGAATGAGTAGGCATGTGAACTTGAAACACAATTTGAATCAAGAAATTTTTGCATTTTAAAATCATCTTCATGCATATAAAATAAATTCTCCCAACAACAAAATTGTGGCTAGTAATAATGGCATGTGGCTAGTAATCTGCTAGTCACAGTGGCTGGTGATTAAAAAAAAAAAAGGTAAATGTCAAGCCCTGCTATTGTTAGTTTTGTGGCTTCTGCTGATAGATTCTTGTGACTAACGTAAGACTTCTACTCAAACTGTGTTTTTTTTTTTTTTATTTGCAGAGGATGATGTAGATCTGGAGGCTCTGGTGAATGACATGGCCTCTCTTTCATCCTACGAGAGCATCTATGCAACCTGTGAGATCCAGCATTCAGACTCCGCACCCCTCTTGCACAGCACTGATAGCAGTGGTCTTCATGGCAACAGAGTGGCTCCACTGCCACGGGCCCCTAGTCATAAAGTGACTGCCCCTCACTCTCCTGCCCAAAGGCTTCGGCGATCTCAGCCAATGCACATTCATGCTGTCAGGTAATGCATACTGTATGCACTCATAGAAATGTGTATTTGTGTGTCTTGACCATGCAGATTTGTAAAGTAAATGTAAAGTAAATTTTGCTAAGCTTTTTGGGAAGAACTAAAGTAAAAAAAAACAAAATCCTACATTTAAAAAATATATGATAAACTTTTAGTCACATGGTCATGCAGAAATCATATGTTGTTGTCAACAAAATTTTTATTTTTATTATTAGTACTAAAACAATTTGTACTACTTGGTATTTCTGAGTTCTTTAATAATAATAATAATAAAAATAAATAAATATAAATAATGGTGTCACAAATCTCGCGGTTCGGATCACTCTACGGTTTTTGAGTCACGTATTAGACTTTTTCGAATTAGCAAAAATGAGAGGAGACAAATGTCATTTGCTTTCCATTTTTTTAAAGATATTACTGCAAAAAACATTGGTTTTAACAAACAGAACTTTGAAGCTGTCATTTTAATAAAAATACAAATCATGAATGAACCAGCTGAAAAAAGGAAAATATTCAATACAAAAAAATGTCTCTTTGTTACTGTTGCTGATAATGCTAAATATAGAAAACGCGTACAGCATATCCTACTTATTTTCAGTGAATGATTCAACTATTCACACAAAAAAATGTAGGCTAGGCAAACACCTTTAATTAATTACCTAAGTAAGCATTTAGGAAGGTCCCACCACAACTTGTCATAATTATATTTTACAGGTAAGTCAAAATGCTTACATACATGTGATTTGAATGACACGGGAGGCGATTGTTATAAATATTAGATTAACCTACGAGTTCAAAAAAGTTTTTTATCTGCAGGTCACGTGCGTTCCGAACTGTGGGTTATGATCCATGTGGTACAAATCAACAAAGGTTGATTCCTTATACAGTTAAAGTCAGAATTATTTGCCCCCTCTTTGATTTTTTTTTTCTTTTTAAAAAATATTTTCTAAATGATGTTAAACAGAGCAAGGAAATTTTCACAGTATGTCTGATAATATTTTTTCCTATGAACAAAGTCTTTTTTTTGTTTTAATTTGGCTAGAATAAAAGTAGTTTTTAATTTTTTATGAACCATTTCAAGGTCAAAATTATTAGCCCCTTTAAGCTATTTTTTTCCCCGACTATCTGCAGAACAAACCATCATTATACAATAACTTGCCTAATTACTCTAATCTGCCTAGTTACCCTAATTAACCTAGTTTAGCCTTTAAACATCACTTTTAGCCAGGGGTCACCAACCTCGGTCCTGGAGAGCCGGTGTCCCTGCTGGGTTTAGCTCCAACTTGCCTCATCACACCTGCCTGGATGTTTCAAGTATACCTAGTAACGCTGCAGTCACACTAGAGTTTATTTGTGCAAAATTCTGTCGTACAGCGATGCAAAAAGGTGCGGGATTAAACAAGCTTATTAGGCATTTAAAAAAGCGAGCGATTGCTCCATGTTTTAAATTTCTGTCCAGAGAGGTCGTGTTTTGATCCTCGATTGGTCTCACGTAGTCAAGTGATGTGATTTCGCAGGTCAGAGTTCACCAAGCTTGAACTTTGCACCGCAGCAACCTGCGAAACTTAACGCATGTCCCTGCGTTTCCGGTCTGACGCGTTCTTGTGCGTATGAATGGAAGTCTATGGGAGGAAAAGCCCAGTGTGACTGCAGCTTTAGACCTTGATTATCTTGTTCAGGTGTGTTTCATTAGGGTTGGAGGTAAAATCTGCTGGACACCGGCCCTCCAGGAACAAGTTTGGTGATCCCTGCTTTAAGCTGTATAAAAGTGTCTTGAAAAATATCTAGTAAAATATTATTTGCAGTCATCATCATGACTAGGATAAAATAAATCGGTTATTAGAAATGAGTTATTAAAACTATTATGTTCAGAAATAAGTTGAAAAAAAATCTTCTCTTTCTTAAACAGAAATTGGGGAAAAAATAAACGGGGGGCTAATAATTTTGACTTATTATCCCCCTAAATTATTAGGCCCCCTGTTAATTTTTCTCTAAGTTTTATTTAACGGAGAGAGAACGATTTTTTCAACACATTAGTTTTAATAACTCATTTCTAATAACTGATTTATTTTATCTTTGCCATGATGACAGTAAATAATATTTGACTAGATATTTTTTATTACACTTCTATACAGCTTAAAGTGACATTTAAAGACTTAACTAGGTAATTAGGTTAACTAGACAGGTTAGGGTAATTAGGTAAGTCATTGTATATCGACGGTTTGTTTTGTAGATTATTGGAAAAAAAAGTTAACTTAAAGGGGCTAATAATTTTGAAAATTAAATTTAGATTAAATTAAATTTAAATCTGCTTTTATTTTAGCCGAAATAAAACAAATATGACTTTCTCTGGAAGAAAAAATATTATCAGACATACTGTAAAAAATTCCTTGCTCTGTTAAACATCATTTAGGAAATATTTAAAAAAGAATAAAAAAATTTAAAGGGGGGCTATCAGTTCTGACTTTAGCTGTATATGTATATATATATATATATATATATATATATATATATATATATATATATATATATATATATATATATATATATATATATATATATATATATATATATATATATATATATATGTATATATATGTTTTAAAAACCCTACTTTTCCAACACTCATAACGAATACTAAAAATTACCCATCTTGTCATTGTGTGAATTAAACTTCGTGCAATTTAATCTACACTTGTCTATATTTTATATAAATATCTGTTAGTATGTTCTTAATTATTCTAAAATTCATCATTACTACTTTTTAAAGAGTTATTCATTGATTAGCACTTTTACATGCGTATTCCATTAAGTCCCCATTAATTTTGCAGTATGTATGTGAGCTACTTTTCTGTTCATAGCCATAGTCTTTCCTCTCTCCAAAATCCTCTCAAAATTGTTCTAATCAGCTCTTTTACACCTCACCTTTCTGCAGGGCTTCTGTGTCGTTCTCTGTCTTTCATCCACTCTTCTCTGATCTCCATGACAGCAGGGTGTAGTTTCACACGCATACACACACCGAGATGGGTTCACGCAGAGGTTTCCCTCTCCGCACACACTCACACAGACACACAGTCTTCTTTCGTTCTGACTCGGCCATGAACCCTGAACGGCCCACCCCCTGCTACGGTTCGGATTTTAAAAATTCCCTCAGTTATTCCCTCAGTTATTATGGTCGCTCCAACTGCGGCGAGGCAGTCATGTATTATTCCCAGTCTTATTGATGTAGATCAAAGAACCGAAGACGAGTTTAGCATCTGCAGTCTATGTGTCTGTCTGCTGAACTCTGCCGAACACCGCCAGAGTTCATGAACCGATTCTCGGTTGGCTAAGTGGGTTTCAAATCTCTCGCTTTCATTCATATATTCTGTAGTAGAATCTATAATGCAGCGGTGAGAATTTCATTAGGATTCTTCTGATTTATTTTTCATTAGCCTATCGCTTTACTGCACTCATGGCTTTAATTTCCTGCTCGGTTTCATATTGATTAAAACAGAGGTGATATCGGGAATACTGCATTGTTAATGAACTACTGGAGGTGAGTCGAGACTGGGGTGATTTGGTTAGATATGTTAGCACTTCGTGCTTATTAAAGGTATAGTTCACCCAAAAATGGACATTCTGTCATGATTTACTCACCCTTTACTTGTTCCAATCTTTTTTTTTTTTTTTTTTTTTTTGAACACGAAAGAGTAAATTTTGAAAAAGGCAAACTTTTAACCACTGACTGCGATAGTATTTGGTTTTTCCTCTATGGTAGTTAAAGTTTTTTTTTTTTTTTTTTTTTTTTTTTTTAAATATCATCTTTTGTGTTAACCAGAATAACCAAACTCATGAAGGTTTGGAATAGGGCTGGGCAATATTGAAAAAAAAAAATGCTATAATCATATCATTTTGTATCTATAATTATAGTATTGTCTTTAATAATCCAAATTTTTTTTTATAGTTTTGATAGTCAAAACCAAAAATGTTTAAACAAAATATGTATCTCTTTATAATAAAATAAACAAAAGTGTTAAAGACATTCTTAAACTTGATAAATAAAATGTTACAAAGTGTGTGCAGTGGTATCGTGTAAATACTGAACAATCAAAGCAAACTTTGTGTCAATAATAATGATACACTGAATTTCAAACTTTGTAAACAAGTTTTCAAGTAAAATAAAAAACCAACATTATTTGAGTTCACATTGCAACATTACACATTGTGCAGTTGGATGACTATATTACTCCTATGCTAAAAAATCTTTCATATGGGGAGCTAGTGGCTGGGATGCACAAGAAAAGAAACCAAAAAGCCACTCTGGCAACATCCTTGCATCCTTTTTGTTATTTTTACAATCTCTTTACTGCTGCTAGCCACTGCCATGCACTCGTGTCACATTTGGACCGCTTGCACACCATGTGTGCATTGCTCCCTTGTGTGCGTCAAGCATCCTAAAGGCTAAAAGTATTCATACTTCTGCATCAAGCGCACGTGTATTCTCTGGCGCAGCCTGTGTGTGGACGCATAGCCCTCATCATGGCCGACACTGATGCAAACCTCTCAAAAAATGTTACTACATGTCACAACGATGTGTATCGAAAGCTCTGATTGGTTGTTTTGGTATCGCTTTCGAGTGTGGGTGGGACCGAGAGCCACGCAAAATCATTGGAGTGAATGTTTACAAGTGTCGAGTCCCGTAAATGAGGTCCAGCTGGAAAGTTTTTTGTGTTTACCTTATGATTAAAGTTGTTGCACGTCTGCCGGTTCCCACCTCAAAATGAGAGAGTTTGAGCTACTTCTACATTAAGGTAGCATTCAGAAAAAAACAAACACCATCAAAGTGTTATTGCAGAGGAACACAAATAGCACTCAGAAGTACAAATGCACGGCAACGTGCAAGGCATGCGCCGTGGGTCACGTGGATCACTCGGCACAGATATATCAGGCTTAAGCTTATTGGCATTGCTTCCAAGGTGCTCAATCAGAAGCCACATTTTAATAAAACTAGCATTCATACAAAAATTCATACCAAACTTTTTGTTGGTTTTGACAATTGTGTTTGGTCATTAAATGCAGATACCGATTTTATTGCCCAGCCCTAGGTTTGAACCACTTAAGGCAGGTGTGCCCAAACTCGGCCCTGGAGGGTCGGTGTCCTACAAAGTTTAGTTCCTACCCCAATCAGACACACCTAGGCTAGCTAATCAAGCTCATACTAGGCTTTCTAGAAATGAAAGATGTACGTTCTTGCAGAGTTCAGCTCCAACCCTGATCAAAAGCAATTAAAACAACTATTAAGGATCTGAAGGTGCAGTTGGTAATTATAGACGTTTGATGTGATCAAGATTGCAGCTGAACTTTGCAGGAAAGTAGAACTTCAGGAACAAGATTATATGGTGGCCGAGAAAGGTTAACATGCTGCAGTTTAAGAAAGCACACTCAATGTGTGTTTTCCTAAAATTGCAGCACGTTAAGCTCTCACGGCCACCATAGGATTAGGCAACCCTGATCTAAGAGGGATCTAAATGCAGACCTAGTGCAAATGCAATCTGAACTGCATCCAATGCCGTTTAATGCGCTCACGTAACCCCACCCCTAACTCTTTTTATTGTCAACTATTTATGTTCGCTTATTACATAACAAACAAGGGTTAATTTGAATAATCGCTAAATGCCACATTCAGTGACCAATAAAACACTCGCTTTAAGATAATGTTGGATATGTGCGTCTCTGAGGCTACACTCAACAGCATGCAATCTCTTTCGGACTTTTAAAACTTTAATGAATGATGACTTTCAACCATCACAACAACAATAAAAAAATTTTTCTGAAAGCAATCACCTACTGCACCATTAATGTTTTTTTTGCGGTCACGGGAAGTCAGAAATTAAACTGAATTTCAATTAATTGAACAGCCTGAGTAAATAATGAGCAAATTTAAATTTTTGTGTCAACTATCCCTTTAAGTGCTAGCAATCGTATGTATTTTTGAATGCTTTCCTAGTGCTGTTGTAGAAAATGACAAGAACAACCTTTACCCTTGGCTCTCTGTGTCACCCCTTGTAGGCGACTTCAAGAAGAAGAGTTGCAAGTTCGTCCGGCGTCTTTGCCAGCTATTCCGAACCCTTTCCCTGAGCTCTGCAGCCCCTCGGGATCTCCTGTGCTGAGTCCTGGATCCCTGCCACAGCCGTCAGAGTCACATGTAAGAGCTGAAAACAGACACTGCTGCTCTGATCCCTGTAGCTATTATCCGTCAGATACACATGAGACGTTACCTGAGTGATTTATTGCAGGTATGAGACTTGAATCTCGCCTCCTGGTTTCAGTACATCAGGCGCCCTCGCATGTTCTCACTTATCTTTGTATGAAAAAAACCTGAAGGGCGACAGGAAGGTTGGATTTTGCATGGAATGAAAATATACAAGGTTTAATTTGTTTGTGCACATTGTTAGTCTTAGGCTGTTATTACATGACAAGTAAAAACGTAAACTTTCATGTTACCATGACTATATATATATATATATATATATATATATATATATATATATATATATATATATATATATATATATATATTTTTTTTTTTTTATTTTATTTTTTTTTTTTTTAATTTTTTTTACACATTTATACATCTGCAAAAATGGCCAAGGCTAGTTCTTAGTAATAAGTACATGTAAGGAAGATACGAGTCTGAAGTAAATCCACACTTTGCAGATAAAATATTCGCAAACACTTGAACAAAAGCACTACCATGTACTGCCATATTTGTGTGTTCGTTTGCGCTTGTCTTTATTCCACAACTGCATAAACATGAATATGCATGCGCATTATGTCATTGATTTTAAAGACTTTCCTTTTTCGTTGTTTACACAGTTGCGACAATGGCGGCATTTTCAAAAACTTCCTATATGTAACCCGTTTTCAGACTTATCCATTTTCAGTCACAAAAACATAGTTGTCAAGTAAACAAACAGGCATTAAGTGTAATGGGGTCTGTTCTGTTCTGTAGCTTGCTTAAATGATCTAAGGTGATTTTGCAGATCATGGATTTTTTAATCTTGATAACTGATCTCTAGGTAATTTGGTTCTTCAAAGAAGTTTGTGAATCAGATTAAAATGTCTGGATGAACTGAGATTGCTGCGTGTGTTGTGAAAGACAGATCTATCGATCCTCGAAAACATGATCAGCAATGCAACGATTGGCTGATGGCACAGCAGCGTAATGACATCATCTGATTAATATTCAATTATCCATTTGAGCTAAATTACATAAAATTTTACACCTTGTTGTGGGCTGCATGCTTGGCCCTTTTCATGTGTCAAGAGCAATTTATTTAGTTAAATGGTTAGAGTGGATTTTCTTTATTATAGTGGCCATAATAGTGTTTTAGTTGCCGGTTTTTTAATTGGTGTAAAGAATAGCTGATTGTTTACAAAAGCATTTTTATATTGATAAAGGCGTTAGAACTTTTGTAAAGCATCAAATCACCATCATATTAACTGTCAACGTTTTTATGACTGAATAAATGCAGTATTGCTTTTAAAAAAGTCACATATTGTGCATGTCTATTAAATACAAATTGTACTAAAGCGATTTAAAGTTCATATCAATAAGATTTCTCTTTTGCACCACCAGGTGGCAGTCTTTCTACTTTCATTTTGGGGGTGCAGATTGCATAAGTTTTAATAATAATATATATTAAAATATTAATATTATTAAAATATATATAACCAGAGTTGAGCTGCCAGAACTGTTGCTATGACAACAAGTCTCGGATCAGTTGTGAAGAACGAAATGATCCTTGACATGGTCTAACAGAGTTGTGCTTGTTCACTTAATGAGTTGTGGGTGTGTTATGAGCATATCGTGCACTAAACCAATCAGTCTCATCTCCCATTGCCTTTACGAATCAGTTGCGTCACGGCTTGGCGCATTTGCTATTTACATGTTGGACTTTGTTAGTGGAAAACTGAATGCTTCACTATCGAGAAAACTGTTCAATAGGCCATTTGCAGCATGAGGATAAAGAATGAGCCTCCTCCATTCGGCTTAGAAAATAATCATTTTTGTAACATTTTAATTCTTTAATTTACCTGCCAACAATGCACCTTAATACACCTCTATTTTAGACCGGAACATCTAAGACTGTTTACATAGACACCAGTAGTCGATTTACTTGCCTTAATCTAATTAAGACAATATTAAGATTAAGGTGTTTACATGAGTTACTTTTTGAATGTTCCTTTCATAATTCCGCTTTACATGTTATAGCGCATAATTTGATTAATGTCGTTGCTTCACTGCACTATTCACATTTCCTCTGTAGTTTCATTTAATTTTGGGTGTTTCATTTTTAATTTGTGGACTTTAACAGCAGTTTGGCACTTTCACTTTCATTCAGGATCATTTCATGCATGCCCCCTGTGACAAACAAGATATTGGATGCAACTATGAACTGCTGGAAGAGTGTTGTTTTAATGGCAGTTCTTACCACATGCTGAATGCAAGAAAAAAAAACTTTTTCAGGATGCAGGTGTCTATGGTCTTCACTAACTCGGTAGGTGCAGAGAGTGTTAAACAGTCGTGTGTGTGTGTGTGGACTATCCTGTCGCAAAACGCGGTGAAAAGTCCTACGTGATGGTAATAGTTTTATTGCGGTGTTTACATGTCTGTACTGCACTTCAATAATGCAACTAAAATCTGAAATATTCTGTTTCAGCTGGAAATATGTCATCATACTGAAATAAAAGTCTGCAGCATCTTTCAGTGCTCACCGACATTAAGATAATCTTGCATATTTGGAGATTAAATTAATAATAATGCCATTTGTTGATGCGGTGGAAGGTTTCTATGGCAATTTTGTTTCTCTGTAAGTTTGGTTGCTCTCTATATCTTGGAAAGCTGGTCTTGCAGCCTAGCCTACCTGGCATTTTGCAAAAGGGACGTTAGGTGTTTTGGAATTTAGTAAGCTGCTCAGCTAGCAAAGTTTGAGGTGGTAGAGCTGTGTAAGCAAAACACTCTTGCAATTACAAAACAGAAATAAACATTACTGAACATTGCAACTTAAAGAAAATATATCAGTGCAGATCAGAGATCAGTCAACTGATTTTAGTACTGTAGCTTCGCAAACTCAAAGAGCCAATATTAAAAGCAAATTTATATGTAGATATTTAAATGTGCCTTTAATTTGAAGCCTTTCATTAATATTATTTGACAATTCTAATTTGATATAATTTAATATAGTATTAATTCATATAACTTATTGGCAACAAAAGATTAAAAAAAAAAAAACTTGAAAAAAGTGTAGTGTAGTGTAAACAACTGACTCTCAAAAAAGATGCCCAAGGAATGGTAATGGCTTTGTTGCATCAGATATACATGTCACTTTGCTTACAGCTGATTGGTTCAGTTTGGGTTCAACATCTCTAACCCAGAATAAAAGCTGCTCTAAGTTACCGTGGCGAGGCTACACAATCAAAATTGACCCATCTTCTTGATGTCAAAAACAGTTTGCTCAAACTTTATGGAAACTTACCTGTGTAAAAAAAAAAAAAAAAACTTTTTCCTCATATGGATGACCGCAAGCTTGCACGCCACCATGTGGATACAGGCAGAATTACAGGGTGGGGTTGCTTCATCTTAAAAAGTATAGTGATTACATTTTAGAAGTATTTTATATTAGGCCTGAAGTCCTTTAGTTTTTGAATAGTTTCTCTTTTCATTAATAAAAAATTAGTGTGTTGACAGTGCACGTGTTTTCCGACTTGTAGACCTTTCCCAATCCCTCCTTTCTCACTGCAACTACTTTATAACCACTTTATTAGGTCAAGATGATCTGCTGCAGTTCAAACCAAGAGGTTGTTGGTGTCAGACAGGTTGGTCTGAGTATTTCAGAAACTGCTGATCTTGTGGGATTTTCATGCATAACCATCGCTAGGCTATGCAGAGAAAAGGTTTATGAAAAAGAGAAAATATTCAGTGAGCGGCAGTTCTGTGGGTGCAAATATCTTGTTGATGCCAGAGGTCAGAGGAGAATGGCCAGACTGGTTTGAGCTGATACAACAGTGACTAAAATAACCACTCGTTATAACCGAGGTATGCAGAAGAGTGTAATGTTGTGGGGGATATTTTCTTGGCACACTTTGGGCCCATTAGAACTAATTGAGCATCGTATCAATGCCACAGCCTACCTGAGTATTGTTGCTGACCATTTCTATTCCACAGTGTACCCATCTTCTGATGGATATTTCTAACAGGATAACGCACCATGTCATAAAGCGCAAATCATCTCAGACTGGTTTCTTGAACTTGACTATGAGTTCTCTGTACTCAAATGGCCCCCACAGTCACCAGATCCTAATCCAATGGAGCTCCTTTGGCATGTGGTGGAACAGGAAATGCATGTGCAGCTGACAGACGTGATGCTGTCATGTCAGTATGGACCAAATTCTCTGAGGAATATTTCCAGTACCTTGTTGAATCTATGGTAAGAATAAATAAGGCAGTTCTGAAGGCAAAATGGGGTCCAACCTGGTACATACCTCATAAAGTGGTCAGTGAGTGTACTTTACAATAAGAGAAATGTTCCAATCCATGCAGAGTAAAGAAATAAACATTTTATTTTAAAATATATAATGTTTAAAATATTATTTTACTTTGTATAGCTAAAAATATTAGTCTGAGCCTGATGAGCTTATTAAAATAAGTTGAATGAAAGTTTTTTTGACATCATTTTTTGCTGCTTGTTCAAACTAGTTTAAAATGAGAACAGCACAATTCATTTCAATTCATTTTTACAGTGTATTAACTTATTGAATTCACAGAAAATTTAAATTTATATATCATTATAAGGGTATGAGATGATTTATATAGTAATATAGGATTTCTGTCATATCACCCAGTCTTAGTGGGCCACCTTGCTATATTTTAATACAGAATTAATGGCAGAGCTTATCAGGTCGCCGCTGCACAGAGTGTTTCCTCTCTAATCTCCTCCCTACACTCTTTGGATTCACTGGGTCAGGGGAATTGTTTGTAAAGCTTTTACTTTTCAAGCATCTGCTATTGTTTTATAACGAGTGCCCTGTGAGATAATATGCGCATTTGTCAAGCATTGTCACGAGTGTGAGATCCTGCTCGGAAATGTGTCTGTCTCCTTTTGGCCCTCGACCTCCTTCATATCTTTCCTAAGCATCCTCCAA